ATAAACTTCCAGGATTTGGCAACATCGTTAAACAACTATTCTACAGCTTCTCTAACTTTGCTCCTGGATCTATTGAATGCTTGCATCTTAGGGGTTGACACCCTGTCTCTAAATGGAAGGATCAGGCGAGCCCTCATGGGATAGGCAGGGTCGCCATAGATGCACATAAGCTGCCCCCCTCTGGTAAGAATGTATGGCGATTCAAGACAGGCAGTAATTGTGAGTCTGCTAAAATCCCAGAATCAGGCCGCCTGCCCTCTGCAAAAAAATAACATTTTACAGTGTTTTGATTTTGTAATCATGGTGAAAAAGTAATGGCCTACACCCTCCTAGTGTTGTAAACTATTTCATTAAAAGTGGTGAGCAAAAGCGTGATTTTCTGACTTAAAAAAATGACAATAAAGTAGTTGGTTGACTGACATTCAAAAGAAGGATGAAACTTGGATTTGCTTGAGGGGGCTCCCCTTGTTACCAATTATCCCCTATATGTACTGCATTGTTTTTGTGCAAAGAGGGGGTACGCCTTTTCAAAGACAAGATACTTGAGTTGCAAGTATTCTCTCCAACAGGACCGTACATACTAGAAATGAGTCCACTTGGAAGAGCAATGGACTGAAACTTAAGTGCATGAACACGTTTATGGCCATTATACACAAGGCTCTGGTGCTCTCCGGGTCTGAAAATTGGCTGGACCGTTCCATTGATAAAGCCGAAGCAATTGTTCAATGCGGCCCTCTTTACTGAGACTGCATCAGCACATATTTGAAGCTGTGCCAGTTGCAGAATAGGTTGGTTCCATTGTAGTATCCTCTGACTGTCGGTGTTAAAGCTATAATCCAACACAGTATTTGTGACCATGCTAATAACAGGCACTGGCCGACCAAAGCGCACTATCAGGTCTGAGTATCTGCAGGAACATGAAAGTCGTCAGAGCAGCACACAAAGTCCCTCCATTCCCACGGCCACTGACCGCTGATGGCACACAAACTGATTTGGTATTTCCTGGGCAGCAGCTAGGTCCGGAAGGTCGCATTTCTTGACTCTAAAGTCTCCTATACACTCGGAATCGTACATCTCGTCCAGGTCAAATCGGTTGTAGTTGTCATAAGGACAGTCAAGATTTTTCGACGTGTTAAAATCCCACAACAGAAATTCATCCTTGTCTATGATGTCTTCAAAGCATGCAACACCTAGTTCTCGGACTTCTTGAAAAGTTGCCATTATGCTCGAAAATCCATGAACAAAGTCAAATTGGACCACTGAAAATGAAAGCAAAACAGCCATCGCTCGTCGTCGCGTCAATACCAGCTTAAATATTCTCATTTCGCACCAAGAGGAGGCGGTCTCAACCCACTCCCGCACGGCCATCGCCACCTCCACCTAATCGTCTCAAGTGTTTGCTTAAGGTCTCTAATTTCCTTCCCTCCAGCGCTGGTTGAGCAAATTGTGGATACGGTCAAGGTGTCACTAGCAGCAGAAAACGTGGCCATTCAACCTCCTGAGCCCAGCAGTTCAGGTGAATTGCAGCCTGTAACTGCACTCTTTGTGCAGGCTATTGGGGGCGTTCCTGCAGACCTAAGTTCGCGTTCTGCGATGCTTCTGGATTCTGGTGTCACGCTTTCTTCGATTCTTTCGACCTTATCAAATACAGGTACGCACTTGTTTGCAGTTCCTTTGTTTTTGAAAGCTTTTCTGCCCCTGTTCCCTTGATTTGCCCTCGTCCAGCGCTACAACTGCTGTGGGCCCGTTGCTTTCTTCTTCACCGTTCAATGCTAATTCCACCTTCCTCATGCCCAACACTTTCTCTAATCCTCTGCCAGTTTTATTTCAACCTTTTGTTCTGGACCCTGGGTTTTCCCCTGTTCCCGCAAAAGTTGTCAGTGAGATTGTTTCAGGGAATTTGGTCGATTTAGGCAACCTATTGCAAGCCAACATCGCTGAGGCGTAATCAGAACTGCAGCTGTTCTTTGATGGTCCCATGATCCTGACCTAAATTGACGACATCGTCACTTGGACGAAGGCTTTCTCCATTTTTGTGATGATCCTCACCTCCTATTTTCCACATCGCTGGAAGGATCAGTCCCAATATAAGCTACTGATTTTGCGGACCTATCAGCAGTTTAGTGGTTGTGTGTGGCTCAACTATGATCGCGCGTTTCACGAACATGCAGCAGCTTCTCGGCTCACCAACTGGTCACCCATGAACATTCAACTTTATAATTTTCATGCCACTGGTGTCGCAGCTCATGGACATCTGGGGAAGTCTGCCGTCCTTCCAGAACCTGCTGGTATTGCTCTGCTACTTTTAAGTGCAGGTCCTGCAACAGGGGTCGTTGCATTGCCTCTTCCAGCTCGTACCGCTTCGCGGATACATGTTCTGCTTGTGAAGCTGATCACAGTGCTGTCTGTCCTGGCCACGCAGAAAAGGAGGTCAAAATAGACCCAAAGCACGAAGCTTCATCCTCGCTTCTTGATGGGCGGTCTCGACGCGGTGGAATGG